AATGGAAGAAATCTCAAAAGTGTCTAGTCCTTGCCCCATTCATCCCCAATCCCCTCTCTAGCAAGCCCAACCGAGGCCACCCAGCCTCTGCTTCCATCCCCTGGGATGCAAGGATTAGAAGGTTTTCCTTGTTCCAAGCTCAGACCTGCCTCCCAGAGCAATTCCTCCGACTGATTCCAACTCTGTCCTGTCAGCCCTGCCCAACAGACCACGTTTTAATCTCTCCCATGATGGTGACGCTGCATGGACTTGGAGATTGCTACCTTGACCCCCATGAGGGTGCTCTTCTCCAGGCCACACCCCCTTCTCCAGGTCACAGTCAGCCCCCTTGTGACCCAGTTCCTGGCCCTCCCCACTCCATCACTGTTCCATAGAATGAATATCAACTGCCCATGCCCCCCTCCCTGGGCAGGCCTCAGAAATGTCCTTGGCCTTACAGCTGGGTCTGGGCAGTCTAAGGACCAGAAGCTTGCTCCCTCCCTGGCCGAGGTTTTCTACCTCTAGTAATGGGGCCTGAGTTTGTGCTAATTTTTGGTAGCCCTATCACACCGCTGCCTAACAGAATGCACTTTCAAGAAAGGTGCTCTGACTCTGCCTCACAAGGTGTGTGAACCCTACATCCCCTGAGCTCTGGGGCCCAACTATAAGACTCCACATTTATTCCTGGGATGTTCCAGTTAGAGGAGGCTTCCTGGAGGTGAAGGAACTTGAGCCTGAACTTGAAAGTGGAATGGTTTTGGATAGATGTCATGGAGGCTGTTTGTGGAGGGAGCATAGTATCAGCAGTGGTGTGGGGTAGGAACACCCCAGGACTGGGGAGGAACTGAGGAAGGGAGGGGCAGCTCTCCGGGCATCTGTCCAGGGACGGAGCCCTCCTCTCCCTCTGACTCTGCTGCCTCCCCACGAAGCCTTCTGCTTACACCCTTCTGGGGGTGGATGGGCACTGATCTTGAGTTTGGCAACTGCCAGGTGGCCAGTCCTCCTCCAGATAGCCCTCAGACAGCTGTGGCCAGATGTGGACTTCTTTCTGCCTCCTCTGCCCTTTTATAGGAGATGTGCCCCACAGCCTCCCCCGCTTCCTCGTGGCCCACTGTGGAGACCCAGCCTCCTGGATCTACTCAGACCAAAAATGTGATGGGACCAACAGCTGCGGGGACTGCTCGGATGAAGTGAGCCCAGGTAGGGGTCTGGGCACAGGCTGGGCTGGGGCCGGTGGCCAGGCAGTAGCCAGAGGGCAAAGGGTGACCAGGGAATCTCTAGGGCTTCCCCTTGCATGCCTTCCCTGCCTCCTAGGAAGAAGTTTTCTACCCCTGGTTGAATATGTCTGGTGGTGGGGTGCTCACTACCCTCCCAGTGACTTGTTCCAGAGGCTCATTCTTCTGCAGTGGGCAGGTCACCTTCAAGGGTGCAGATGAGAAAACTGGGCCCCAGAAGGTGGTCATGCAAGGAGTACACACTTGGCCCAGCTGGGATTTGAACCTGGGGCTCCCTCATCTCTGTACCTCCCAATAACCCCGTGAGGAAAGCAGGGCCGGAATCACTGGCCCCAGTTTGTCTGTTAGTAAACTGAGGCTTTTCTTAGTGCAATGCCTGACAGGAAAGGAGCTGAGGTGAACCCAGGCCTCCTGAGCCAAGTCCTGAGTCCTGTCGCTGCGTCCGAGTCTCCCTCAATCTCTTCCCCAGTGGTCAGTCAACAAACACGTTCTGAACACTGGTCAGGTGCTCAGAACACACCTGGCATCAGATTCCGGTGGGGACATCAGGAATCAGGCACGTGTCCTACCCCTGGGCTCACATCATGCTGATGCCAAAAGGAGGTGCTAGGGACCTGAAGGAATCAAGAGAGACTTCTCAGAAGAGGTTGCATTCAAGAAGGCCTTAGAGAATAGACAGGATTCAGTAGGCAGAGGCGGCTGTGTGGGGAGGGATGCCGGAAGCCTGGGCAGAGGGGAGAAGGCCAGGAGCACCCTCAGGGAGTTGTGGCGGGTGAGCGTGGCTGGACTCAGGGGAAGAAAGGGCACCCATTCATGTGTGCCTGGCACCCATTGACAGTGTGCCTGGCACTTTGCCTAACATCCTTTGCTTAATAACAAGGTTGAGCAGACGAGAAAACAGGTTCAGACAGGGTGAGCAAGGTCACACGGCCTGTGAATTGTGGAGTCGAGATTTTCTCTGCTGCAGGGAAACTAGGAAGACACCCAACCCACGTCAGATGGGTCAGGGCCGTGGGGAGCTGTGGCGGGTTTCGGAAGCGGGGAGTGCCCTGGTGCACAGAGCATTCCAGGACACAGCAACTGCTCTCCTGCTGGCTCTTGTCTCCCCAGTGACGGTGTGCCCACCCTGCGGCCCTGGGTGGTGGCGCTGTCCTTCAACTGTCTTCATTTACTGCGGCTGTATCCCGAGGCATCTCTGCCGTGACCGTGTACAGCACTGCTCCGACTGGTCAGATGAGTACACCTGTCCCGGACCCTGAGTGGGCCGCTCAGGCCAGCATGGAAGGCCGGCTGGAACGGCACTGATAACCCTTCACATGAAAATTGAATCGTAGGCCAGGTGTGCTGGCTCACACTTGTAATCCCAGCACTTTGGGAGGCCGAGGCAGACAGATCACGAGATCAAGAGATGGAGACCATCCTGGCCAATGTGGTGAAACCCCGTCTCTACTAAAAATACAAAAATTAGCTGGGTGTGGTGGCACACGCCTTTAGTCCCAGCTACTTGGGAGGCTGAGGCAGGAGAATTGCTTGAACCTGGGAGGTAAAGGTTGCAGCGAGCTGAGATCGTGCCACTGCACTCCAGCCTGGGTGACAGCAAGACTCTGTCTCAAAGAAAAGAAAAGAAAATCGAATCTTAGTGCTCAAGGGTAGGACGGAGTATTTGAAATGGGATCTACACATCATTTCTGAATAGGAATTTTCTCTTCTGCTTTCAAGTTTCAAATGCCTCTGCTTGAATGCCTCCAATGACCAGGAGCTCATTACCATGTTAGGTGGCTTCTAACGAAGATGAGGGGACATGATGAAACCTCATCTCTACCAAAAATACAAAAATTAGCCAGGCGTGATGGCACACACACACACACACACACACACACACACACACACGACGAGGAGAATCTGCTTCTATGGTTTCACGCCTGTCTCTGGGGCCACACAGAGGAAATCTGCAAACTGCTCCAAGACAGACTTGTGGATCCTAATCCCGTCACCCCTTGGAGTGATGATATGTCTGGGACTTAAATGACAAGCCTAGTTTAGCCTTTGTGATGGCACATACATGAAACATATGCCACTTCCTACCCCTTTGGTACCTAAGGCAGATATACTGGGCTTGGATGCCACCTTAGCATCTTCCACAGTTCAGTTATCCCAGCAGGCTCTGCTGATTTGACCACATGACATGCACATGAAACAGGATATCTGGCATCCTGCCAGTGGGAAGCCTCCCCGGGAAGCTCTGAGCTGTATAATAGATCTGGAGAAAGAACATCTTGAAGGGCTCCTCACCAGTCTTCTGTCTGCCCACCCTGCTCTCCACCCCACCACTCCCCACCCTCCACTTTATGCCCAGCTGCCCACCTAAACAGCCCAGTTTTCTGGAAGTAAGGACTATATTTTGGTCCCAGAGCCTGACCGAGCTTCTTGTCTGGTTATCTTTCCAGCTTCACACCACCCAGGCAGGCAAGGATGGATATTTCCATCAGACGGATGAGAAAACTGAGGCCCAGAGAGGGCAATGACGTCCAGAATCATACAGCAAAGTCAGTGCTGGAACTGGGACCCAAACACGGTCTATGGCACTCCAGCCCTGAAGCCTTTCCAGCTACCTGTGTGATGATACCTTGGCCAGGGCAGAGTCTCTGCGGGGTATTTTAAAAGTAAGCTTGCCAGGTGCAGTGGCTCACGCCTATAATCCCAGCAGTTTGGGACACTGAAGTGGAAGGATCACTTGAGCCCAGGAGTTCAAGACCATCCAGGGAAACATAGGGAGAAACTTTCTCTACAAAAAAATAAGAAAAATATAGCCAGGCGTGGTGGTGCATGCTTGTAGTCTCAGCTACTCAGGAGGCTAAGGTGGGAGGATCGTTTGAGCCTGGAAGGTTGAGGCTGCAGTGAGGCGTGATCACGCCACTGCACTTCAGCCTGGGCAACAAAGACCCTGTCACAAAAGATTTCTTTTTAATAAAAATAAAATAAAACATGAGAGGGAGGGTCAGAAAGTGTCCCACCCATACCCTGAAAGAGAGACTTGGGATCTGCCTGACGGGAGGGCTTCTGTCAAGGGAGACAGACACATCCCCACTGAAAATTAATAAAATTGGGTTTACACATCAGCTTTCTGAGTTTTGAAAACTGAAAACGACGGCTATAAGAAGGAATGAGATCATGTCCTTTGCAGGGGCGTGGATGAAGCTGGAAGCCATCAGCAGCAGCATACTAACACAGGAACAGAAAACAAACACTGCATGTTCTCACTCATAAGTGCCAGTTGAACAATGAGAACACACAGACACAGGGAGGGGAATATCACACACTGGGGCCTGTGAGCAGTGGGGAGTGAGGGGAAGGAGAGTATCAGGACGAATGGAGCCTTAAAACCTAGATGACAGGTTGACGGGTGCAGCAAACCACCATGGCACACGTACAACTACGTAACAAACCTGCACATTTATTCCGTAACTTAAAGTAAAAAAATTTTTAAAAAGAAAACTGAAAATGAGCATCCAAGGGACTGGTGAGCTCTGGCTCATTTATTGCCTCACACATTCGTTCACTCCTCAGTCTCTGCAAACCTGATTTGGACCAAGCTGTGAGTCAGATGCCACGCCCCCAGAGAACCTGGATCCTAGCACACGAGGAGCTCAGGGTCATCTGGAGGAAGCACTCACGCCATGGAGGGAGGGCTGGGACTGCAGAAAATGCTGGGCTGAATGCTCCAAGGAGGGGCCTCCCGGAGCCGGAACAATCACATTTCTGACCCGGACCAACTGAGGAGCTCCTGCAACAGGGTTCCTCAGGGATCTTGCCCAAGGGACTGTCAGCTCTCAGCTCTGGCACGTTCCGCAGAGTTTCTCTCCAACTGCAGTGCAAGCAGGAGCTGAGAGAGCCCTCTGGCATCCTTAGTTCTGACCCGAACCAGAGGAGCCTGCCTTCCCAGAGGAGGACTTTGGGCCGGCTCTGGAGGCTAGAAGCATTTCCGGAGGTAGAAGTGGATGAAGTGAACAAAGTCATGGAAGTGTGACCAGACAGCTCAGCCAGGGACTGTCCAACAGGCCAGAGAGGCCACAGTAGAGGGTGGGTGAGGAGTTAGAAGAGGTGAGAGGGGCAGCAGGGAACAGATCATGGAGAGCTTAGCACAGCAGTGGGCTATCATCAAGGGCAGTTTAGCCTGGAAGCTGGATCTACCATGATCTTTTTTTTTTTTAGACAGTCTCACTCTGTCACAAGGTGCCAGGCTGGAGTGCAGTGGCACAATCTCGGCTCACTGCAACCTCTGCCTCCTGGGTTCAAGCAGTTCTCCTGCCTCAGCCTCCCGAGTAGCTGGGACTACAGACGCATGCCACCATGCCCAGCTAATTTTTGTATTTTTAGTAGAGACGGGGTTTCACCATGTTGGCCATGATGGTCTCAATCTCTTGACCTCATGATCCGCCCACCTCGGCCTCCCAAAGTGCTGGGATTACAGGCATGAGCCACCGCGCCCAGCCCATGATCTTTATTTATGGATATATTTTAGAGATGGGGTCTTATTCCATCACCCAGGCTGAGTACACAGGCATCATCATAGCTCACTGCAACCTCAAGCTCCTGGGCTCAAATGATCCTCCTCCCTCAGCCTCCCAAGAATTTGGGATTACAGGCTTGCCCTGCCATGCTCAGCTGTTTTTTGTTTTTTTGGTTTTTTTTTTTTTTTTTTGAGATGAGGGTCTTTCTATGTTTCCCAGGCTGGTCTTGACCTCTTGGCCTCAAGCAATGCTCCCACCTTGGCTTCCCAAAGCTCTGGAATTATAGGCATGAGTCACATGTCTCACCTTTCACTACAATAGCCCAATAAAAAGATGCCGAGGGCTTGGACCCAGTGGGCAGAGAAAAGGGGTGGTCCAGTGCTATTTACTGGTAAAATTCATGAGTCTTCCAGCCCTCCTATGGGTGGAGGATGGGGGACAGTAAGGTGGCGGGATGAGAACGATGAGGAGTCCAGGATGCCTGGGAAGGACTGTGCTCCTGACCTCCTGCCTTGGCCATGCCTTCTCCAGCAGGATGCCGGTCTCAAGGGAAAGAGGAAGTTGAATTTGTCCTTGGGGAACAAGAAAGGTCAGAGGTTCATTTCAGTACTCAAATGACAACACGTCCTGAGCACTGGCCATGGGAAGCCAGGCAAGATCAGAACAGGAGCCTAAGTTTGCTCACACCGTCAGTCGTGGCGGTTCAGGCGGCTGGAGAGTGCCCAGCTTCCTGCAGAGTCTGCTGGTGCTGCAGTTGGCTTCTTTAGTGGATGGCCTGCAGCGCTTCTCTGAAAAAATGCCCAGAGGCCCCAGCACCGTGGACTGCATATTAATTTACCCCAGCCAAACCCATCCACAGGCCTCTGCGGCTTAAGATGCTTCATTAACAGAATGGGGAAACCAAGGCTAAGACAGACTTGTCTGCGTCCACTCAGCATGTCAGTAGCTGGGCAAGGACTAAAACAGGTACCTAGGTGCACACAGCTAGCATCTGTCGAGCGCTGACAATGAACCGGCACTATGGTAAGTAAGGGCTTTGCCTTCATCCACACAACAACACTATGAGATAGGTACTGTTTTAAGAGGACCTAAAACCTCTCGCTTAGAGAGGCGAGGCAGCTTGTTGAAGTGTTCCTGGCGAGACAGGAATGCCACCTCTGAAGTCCGGGCCCTTGCCATGTGATATGGTTTGGCTGTGCCCCCACCCAAATCTCACCTTGAATTGTGATAATCCCATGTGCGAAGAGCAGGGCCAGGTGGGGATAATTGAATCATGGGGGTAGTTTCCCACATACCTTTCTCACGATAGTGAATATGTCCCACGAGTTCTGATGGTTTTATAAAGGCAGTTCCCCTGCACACGCTCTCTTGCCTGCTGCCCTGTAAGATGTGCCTTTGCTCCACCTCCACCTTCCACCATGATTGTGAGGCCTCCCCAGCCATGTGGAACTGTGAGTCCATTAAACCTCTTTTTCACTGTAAATTTTCCTGGGTATGTCTTTATTATCAGCGTGAGAACAGACTAATACACCATGGTAGTTCAGTTTTATACTGTCTCGGGAGGTCTGGGAAAGCTTCCTAGCAGAGGTGATACCTAAGCAGGACCCTGAAGGGTGATTAGGAATGAGCCATGGAGGAGGCATGGAGAGGGCAGTCCAGACCGAAGAGATGCTCGGGCACCAGGCAGGAGGGCGAGGTGGGTGCAGGCTGGGGAGGCCACGTGGCTGACGAGGGTGTGCCTGGATGTCAGGAGAGCCTTGATCCTGGCAGCAAAGCGGGAGCTTGACTGTGAAGGCCGCAGGCTGCTGGCAGAGGTTTTCAGCAGGAGAAACACAGATATTTTGATTCCTCCTTTTGAGGAGGGGCTGCAAAGAAGGCTGACTTCCGAACA